ATACGTCGATATTCTATTGCATGGCAGGCAAGTTAGAAATAGCAAGTGGAAGAAATAAATCTTTTTCTTGTATCGAAATACATTCTCTGGAAAAGACATATTCCGTCTTTCTCTCACTTAACGTTTGTTGTTGACAGGCGTTATATCTGGAATAACAGAAAGAGACATGCAATACTTGTCGACATAAGTACAACGATATTTATTAGATTAAAAGAAAAATGACTTAATGAGAGTCATTATGAAAGATAATTTCAAAAATCATTGAGTATCTTTCGACTTTAAGAGCTTATTTTATTTCTCGATTGTTGCTAATCTAACATGAAAATATTAAAAAAATTCTTTTACTCTGATTAACTTTATTTCAGTCAATCTTTAAATGGATACTTAAAATAAATAAAATGTCGTTTTGTGAAATGACTTATTTAGTACTTTATCGTGTTTATGAACGCACGAGCATCAACATCGAAACGATTTTTTTTTCTTAAAAGAATTTCGATCAATTCCATGAGTCGTTTTGATATTCTGAAACTCAATGATGAGTCATGTTGACGCGAAGCTGTTTTGAACTCATCGTATTTCGACGACATTGCACCGGATTGCAAGAAAAAAAACAATATTCCGGATAGTTCGTAGCAATGAATCGGTGATCGCGGTCATTAATAAAAGTAACACTTTTTTATCTTTGCAAGTTAATTATTTGTTTTAATTAATACTTGTTCAGTGATTAGATTGGGGTGGTCTTGGTGTTGGTGTATGTATCGATGTGTCTGAGGATGAGAAAATTAAGATAAGTCAATCACACTGACACGTAGATAGAAACCCACACCCACATCATATCTGTTACTAAACTCTTCGGTTGTCCCCATATCAGCAAAGTAAATGGATTCAATTAGTAGCAACAATGCATTAGGTAATGACAGATGTGGACATGATATATTTTCTTGCTACGTATCTCAAGTTTTGAATAGAGTTACTGGAGTTGGATTGCTCAATTTATGATCATTTATCGCAGCAATAATTACTGCAACTACAGTGCACCTCAAAAGTCTTGTACCACTTTTTTGTTTTGACGCGTCTATTAAAACTACGCAGCATTAATTTAATTTGTCCATATGACTGTATAGTAGGAGTCGAATACTATCTATAAAATATATATCTGTTTAATACGAAAAGCCCTTGGTTATGAAATACAATAACAACAAACAAACTTCAATGCTAAGAAAAAAAATGGAATAAAAAACTACAGAATGATAATAAAAATGTTTGGAGAACTTTTATTTTGCAATAGGAATTGTTTATACAAATTTTATAGAGCTTTCGACGGCGCATCTTTTGAAACAAAAATTAAGGCGCTATCATTTTCTTAAGCCAAGATATATGCAAAATATAAGTCTTCGAAACACTTTTATTATGTTAAATACGGTGGGAGGCAGCACTATCATGTACTTTTTTCTGTTTCAAGTATGGAATAAAGCATCAGAACAAGTCAATAGGGATTCATTCTTACAGTTTTTGAAGAACTTTTCACGAAGCATCTTTTGAAAAAAAGCAAGATTTTATCATTTGTCTGTGCAGAGATATTCGCAAAATAAACTATCTTGCAAACATTTTGGGACATTCGGTATTTCATAGCGTTTAATATTTGAGCTATAACACCATCATTTCTCAATGAAATCCGAAATGTTTTTTTTTTTTATCAAAATGATCAGCGACAAAAGCTCTAGAGAGTCTGATAAAATGAAAAGCCTTCTGAATACTTTGTGGTTTTTGTGATTGACTGTCCATGGCAGTATTTTATAACAACCGTATCATTTTGTAGGTTTTTATGCCATTTTTTTCTCAGCATTGAAATTTGTTTTTTGTTATCGTATTTTATATTCGAGGGCTTTTCGTATTAAACAGATATATATATCTATATATAGATAGTACTCGGCCTCTACTATACAGGCATATAACCAAATCAAATTAATGTTGTGTAGTTTTAATACACGACTCAAAACAAAAACGTGGCACAAGACTTTTGAGGTGCACTGTAGCATGTTCTTTTTGAAATATCAATTTGCTTCAGGTTCTTGCGATTTAAACTGACTTTCAGGAACTACTCGAAGTTACATTTTTTCACATGAAACATCAAATATTCCTGGGCTCAAAGACATTCGATCTTATCATACGAACAGATATTTGTTCTGAAGAATTTGATTATCATCTCGATAATAATACAGTAGCCACGTATTTGATTGCAACATGGAACAGATGGTGAGTGGTGTGCTTTGATTCTGTATCTGTAATATCTATTGCTATGGTTACTGTATTTCCAATAATTGTTCGTGTAAGTTTCAGCTGTAGAAATTCTTCTTAGACACATCTATATTCTCGATCTGATTGGACACTTTGAATCGATCGTTAGGTAAGATCTTGAAAACAGAATGTGCATTTTTTTTTGTACAGAAAACGCTGTTATTGCTAGACAATCAGTCAAAGTTGAAACGCAAATGACATCAGTCGAAAGAATAGTTGGAGATGGTCCACGTGATTAAGAACCATCTAATCAATTATCAGCTAAATATCGAGCTTCAATGAATTACCTATCACAAGATCATAGTTTTATCGAAAATGTTTCCATGTCTCATTCGAAAGAATCACATTTCACTAAGAATAGAACCTGGTAAAAAAACTGGTATTGTTTCGAAAACAGATGCTGGTAAAAGTTTACTCATTCAATCTCTTTTTTGAATCAGTACACTTCTTCATGATTCCAGTATTATTGGTGATCTTGACATAGCATCTGCTGGTTTAAAAGATGCTCGACGTCGTATTTCAATTATTCCACAAGATTATATTCTTTGTACTAGTAAATTTAGAATTAATATTGATCAATTTGGTCTTTATTCAGATGCCGAAATATCGAATGCACTTGGCCACACCTGTCATTATTTTATAATTTTTCTGTGACTAATTGAATAAATTAATTTTGTTGATATACTTACAGATCAAGAAATTAGTAATAGATACGATGCGGGTGTGGATGACGTATCTTAATTTTTTCATCGTCAGGTAAGTTATGTCGATACACACACGAAGACGAAGGCCACCCCGCCCTAATCACTTAGCACGTATTAATTAAAGCAGATAATAAAACTCATACTATAAAAAATGTTCGTTTTATCAATAACCGAGATCAACAACCCATTGCTAAAAATAATCTGCAACAGTAATTTTCTTTTCTTTTTCAGTGACATTCATTGCAATGGCGGGGAAATATGATGAGCATCGACCTATTACGCGGTAAGATGAGTCATCATTGCGGTTCACTATATCCAAATGAGTGATATGGGGTTGATCGAAGATCTTCTGAAAACAAGAATTGTTTCGATATTGATGTTCATGCGCTTCAAAAGAGGATAAAGTACTAAATAAGACATTTCATAAAGTGACAATTGATTTATTTTAAAACTCTATTAGAAAATGGATAGAAATGACGTTAATCGTACTAAAATAATTTTTCAATATTTTCATGTTAGATTAGCAACAATCGAGGAATAAAATAAGCCCTTAAAATCCAAAGATTATCATTGATTTTGCAATTGTCTTTCAGAATGATTCTCATTAATTCATTTTTGTTTGAATCTAGTAAATATCTTTGAATGCATGTCAACAAATATTTCATGTCTTTTTCTGTTATACAAGATATAACATCTATGAAAAGTTAGCCTTCTGTGGGAGACAGATGAAATATTTTTTATCCAGATGATATATGCCCAGACAAGAAAGAGACTGATTTTTTCACTCACCGTTTTTGACTTGTTGGTCATGTCGTAGAATAACGATATATATGGGTAAATCTTATAGCATTTGTACAATGGTGTGTGGGTGTAGTGTGTGCATGTGGGTTGGAGCGTGTTTTCAACAAAACAAAACAAAACCCACACCAACGCCCGTACCCCCAGCCACCCACACCCACATCCTCTATTTCAAATGAAGATAGACTTGAATGAAACAATTAAAATTCTCGCTTATTTTAGATTTTTAACTCATGGGAACGCGTAAAATTTAAAAGAAAAGAATGATTTACTGTTTTTCACCTCAAAATCCTTTCTGTTGAATATTTCAAATTTGTTCGATATTTGCTTATTAGAGGTCAAATATTTATTTTCATCACAAATTACACATGTTATTCGTGTGAAATAGTTCTTTATCAATCGAAAATAATCATTCAATTGAATTATATATACTGTTACCATAGTCATTTGAATTAACAATAGTAACTCAAAATTTGATACCGATCATACATTTAATAAAACACGTTCAAATATCTCTTCATAATCTTCACGTTGATATTGATTGATAATGTCAATGGATTTACATGTAATTGTTATTCTCCCCATTATGCTGGTGTAATAATCCATTGTGCATGCTCAACAGTCGAATTTAGTCGTACATGTTCAGTGTCGTATGTTGCTGCTTGTCAAACATAATCGAGCATCATATGCTAGATTAATAAGAATAGTAAAAGTTATCGTCTAGTTTAATCCATTTTATTTTAATTATTGTAGAATGAGCGCAACCGGTATGCCTTATAACACGTTGATATTTTCTCTACTTTCGATGGGTGTGGAGTGTGACGTTGGTATTGTTTAAGAGAAGATGAATACCTTCACTCCCACACCCTCCTCTGTACAACGTTGATCTGTGCCGATCCTTTTAGGGTTTCATATCAGCAATCTATCATTGTATTATACAGAATTTTATAAATCCTAAATAAAGACTTTAATCAATCAAACAATTGGTCAGTACCCTGAATTCTGATCTTTGGAATCAATTAAAGTTGCATGTTGTTATGGAATTTTCAATTGGACAATATATTTTTCAAATCTTTGTACAGTTCTGTGTTCCTTTGTATAAATCCAAAAGGTTAAAAATTCTAATTGGAATAGATTTTGGTTATAATATGTGACTAGCGAAGATTAGATGAAGCAAAGTACATGCATACATAAATTAGAATTGAACACCTATTGACTTCATTAAAAGTATTATTGAAATATGTTTGAATATAATTATTCAGATTCTATTAAATTGTACAAGCATTCAGTGTTGTATTTTTCATCATTTATTCATATTTCGATCGTTTCATAATCACTAAACGTCATCTACACCATTCAATATGTTATTCTTTAAGAGAAATATAAATATACATATCTGACAGTCTGATCCTAGCACAAAACTCTCTCATATTTTCAATCTGTTTCATGCATCAAGAATTTAGTAGCATATTTTGTGAAAAATATGAGGTTTCCACCCATCTTCATATTCTAAATTGTCTTGATAAAAATGTTTTTCGTTCAAATTTCTATCTATTTTGACAAATGAAATTTTGTCATTTCCCATGCCCGTGATCATAGAATCTCATATTAATCACAAAACCACAATTACATTGTGTGTAATCTTTGCATTGTTTAGATAGTGAACGTGTCTCAAGCGAAGTTTTGTTATTAGGTTTTCATGCGACGTTACTACTTGCACGATTTATTTCACGTACGAAGAAATTTTAAAAGTTTTATCTAATTAGTTTATTTCAAATTTGTTCGGGTTTAAAATAAAAAAACTAGTGCCAATATTTAAAAACGAGAATTTTTTTTTCTTCAAATAGGACTGTATTAAGAATCAATTATGGTAACTTTCAAAAGAAATCGCTTCTCTTTCTATCCACCCAACCAACCATTCGATAGGTATTTCGACGCGTCGATTTTGGCTTCCGTTGGGCATCGAAATTTCAAATCGACCCCTGGAAGTGCCATTTTCCGATGGGTCGAGGGCTCGGCGATGGGTTGTTTTTACTAGTAGTTTTCAACCACTCGAATAGTCATTTCCGATAGATCGGAATTTCATCGAAAAAAAGAATTTTTATCCGATAGATGTCTCAATTTCGAGTTGTTTCAATCCATCGAATATAGATTTCGAGTCGTCGAATCCTATCAAACACATGCGATGAACTAGATTTGAACATAGGTACCTACGATTCACTTGCATCGAACCATTGATCTAAATATGAACTATTATTCGTGTATCAAAATGACCTTTTTAATTCATAAGAAGATAGTACTTATTGTTCATTCTTTTTGATTTTTGTTTTTATTTTTTGAAAACTGAAAATAATATTTTTTGCCCAGAGAGAAAAATTTCTTTCAAACATTAGAAATAATATTTTTCATCCAGAAAAAAGATTATTTTTTGAACACTAAAAATTATATTTTTGATCGAGAAAAATTTTTTTATCATGAAAAAAATTTCATCAAGAAGGAAAAC